TGTGTATATATATATATATATATATTGTGTGTGTGTGTGTGTGTGTCTTTTTGAGATAGGGTCTTGCTATGCAGTTCAGGCTGGACCCTCTTCCTGCTCCTTGTGTCTGTGGTCAGGTCAGACCACTGAACTGGTCTAAAAGTTCATAATGACTAGGATATCCGGGGAGCAATTCTAAATGAGACTATTTGACTGGGAGGGTTGACACCCCTTGAGAGTCATTGACCCTTACAAGGATCGAGAGCCTTTCCTGCCTGTGGGGCCCTAACAAAAGGTTAAAAGAGGAGATAAACCCAGTTGGGATTTATTTTTGCTCAGGAGACCAGGCCAAAGGCTGTGACTCCATGGATGAGTTAGACTTTATTTGTTAAGAGATGACCCAAAAATGTTTATTACTATTTGTAAAGTCATCTGGTCCTCGATCTGCTCCCCTGTAAGGTCAGGTCTTGGGCTTCAGGACAATTTGTCCACACCTTGTCCCAATTCAGAGCTGGACCCTCACCAACTACCACCACCAGCACAACCACTGGGAGCTTATTTAAAAAATGCTGTTTTTATGCCAATAAATCTGGAATCATCAGATAGAATTTAGCCAGGGTCTGTCAGCGCCTCAACAAGAGAGCAAAAGACCACCAAAATTCCCAAGGGTGGTGTGCCCAGATGTACAATTGGAATCCCTGGTTAATTTCTTTACTGACAAGTCTGGCAGGGCCCTTCATGATCTGTAGAGCCTTACTTGTGATTGGGCCCTGCCTAATCAAAAGGGTGATAGGGAGAATCCAACCTAGACTGGACCAAGTACAATTTCTGGTGTTGGCAGAAAATCCTGGGTATCAAGCTATGTAGATAAATTTAAGGATACTTAACCAGCTTAATAAGGGGAGAGTGTCCTTGAGAGGAGAGTGATATGGGAAAGAAAACTAAACCGATACCATTTTGTGTTCTAGTGCCATTTTAAAGCTTAAGTTTCATTTCCTTAAGTTCGTTTCTTGTAAATGTTGTCATAGTTACCTAACCTGAAACCACCCCATGCTCTGTCATAAGACTGCTTGTCCCCTGTGTAAAATGTCAAACACCTTTGTTCCTCTGTCAGGAGCTAAACCCATGCTTTGTAGCCTGTTGATAGCTGCACTAAATCATATCAGTACCACCTGCTCCACGGACTCAGAAGTAGACTTCCAACTAGAACTGTGTAACTGTTCTCCCCTCCTCCCCTTTGGAGTCTGTGCTCAGTCATATACTGGGTGCCCACTGCTGGCCCCCAACGAACTTGCTTGTCCTCTGCATCCAGCCTCTGCGGTGATTAAATAAGCGCCTTTGGCACAACAATAGCATATGTCATAATTCCTTTTCTTTTTTTTATTATTTTAAATGTGGTCTCTAACTCCTGGGCTAAAGTGGTACTCCTGCCTCAGCTTCATGCCACTCCACCCTTACATCTTCACCCGTATTTAAGGTCACTGTTTGCCGGCTGGAGGTGTAGCTCAGGGGCAGAGGGCTTGCTTTCATACGTGAGGCCCTGGGTCGGTTTCCCAGTGCCACAAAAGAAATGATAAGCAAATAAAAAGGCCAGTGTTTAAGCTTAAGGTAATGAATAATTGTGAAATTTTTCTTTTCTAAGTATTTCTAAGTGACTACTATAGAGTTTTGTCTTCCTGTATGTGAGTTTTATTTATATGGCAGAGGGTTTTTATTTTGTTTATCTCAGCTGGAATTTCCTTCTTTTTTGGCTTTTGGTGAGACAGGGTTTCACTATGTAGTCCAGGATGGCCTTGAACTTGGTACTGATATATAGGGTATATGATATATGGACCTCCAAGAAATATAAAGGAAATATAACTCCCAACCTGTTAGATGTCACCGAATTTATGTTCTTTAAAATCGAGGAATAAATTCTAGGAGCAATGGAGATTAGGAGTAGGAAGAATTATTGAGAGAAAGAAAGCTTCTAAGAGAGATAGAAAGGGGCCCAGAAAGTGGGTGGCCAGCCAACCCTACTTCTCAAAGGTGTTCGTTGCGCACAGCCATGAGGTCAGGCGGGTTCAAGGTGGGACAGAACTGTAGTCAACCAATAAGATTACAAGTATAGTCACTTAGGTAATATTGATCCAATGGAAAGTCAGAAGGTGGGCATGAGGTGGGACAAAACTATGATCAACAAATAAGATTACCACAAGATAGTCTCCTAGGTAATATGGCTAGGGAGGTTTCCTCTCCAACCCACTTTGATTCCTGTTTAGAATATCAATCGCTGCTGTTCATCTCTAGAGGAAGTATGTGGGTGTAAAGGTTTCCTCTTTTTCTTGAATGACCTGCAGTGAATGTCACTTCCGCAGCAATTGTCTTCTGTGTTGAGGGCCCACCCCCATCTAACTGCCTGTAATTTTTAAAACCAGTTTAGCTGTCTACAATAGTACTTTGTATCCTAAGTCTGCCTCAACCTCATGGCAATCCTCCAGCCTTCAGCCTCCTCAGTGCTGGGATTATAGGCATGCATCACCATCCCCAGCTTCTGTCTTTTTAAAAACTGGGTAATATTTTTTGTACGAATGTGTTTGTTCCACATTTTATTTACCCATTCATTTGTTGATGGGCGTAGGTTGTTTTTACCTCCCCTTTACTGTGGATATGTTATGAATTTAAGTATACAGATATTTCATGATCCCCCTATCAGTACTTTCGGGTATGTACCTAGAAGTGAAATTGCTGTGTCTTATGCTAATTCTATTTTTTAATTTAATAAGCTTTTTTGCTGGGCGTGGTGGCACACTTGGGAGGCTCAGGCAGAAGGATCACTGTGAATTCAAGGCCAGCCTGTACTATATAGCAAGACCCTGTCACAAAAAATTTTTTATGAACCTCCATAGTGTTTTACCCAGCTGCTATACCACATATGTTTCTATAAACAGTGCACAAGGGTTCTAGTTTCTCCACATCCTGCCCAGCACTGGTTATTTTGTGTTATTGAGTTATTATGATCATGGCCTGCTGGGTGTAAGGAGATATCTCATTGTGGATTTAATTTGCATTTTCATAATGATTAGTGATATTAGGCAGAGGTCCTGCTTTTGGGATTCTCTTTATATGTGTTTTCTTTTTTTGTTTTTTTTTCTGGTACCAGGAATCGAACTCACGACCTTGTACTTGCCAGGCAGGCTCTGTGCCACTGAGCTAAATCCCCAGCCTCTATATGTGTTTTCTAAAATAGATATTTTGTAAAGTTTCCATAAGATGTACTAGAATGTTTGTAAAATGTATTGAAATTCTTGAGTTCCAGAAATATTTCAAATAGAAGAATGACTTCTTTCCCTCCCCCCCCCACCACCGCCATTCCTCCCTCCTTCTCTGTCTCTGTCTGTCTCTCTCTCCAGGGTTGGATATCTGGCTGGATGTCTAGTTCGTGAACTGTGTGACAAACAACCAGAGCTACAGATAAGTGAGCGAGATATTCTCTGTGTTCAGATTGCTGGGCTTTGTCATGATCTTGGTAAGTTGTATGAAGAGTTGAACTGGTTATGTAAATTCAAAACACTTGTGACCTCCCTTTGATTTTTTTTTGTGGGGGGGCTGCTTTTGAGACTAGGTCTCGTTATGTAATTCATGCTAGACTTGAACTCACTGTGTAGGCAAGGCTGGACTTGAATTTTGTGGCAATCCTCCTGTCTCAGCCTTCTGAGTGCTAGGATTACATGTGTATGCTACCATGCCTGGCTCCCTTTTTGAAATTTAAAAATCAGACTAATCAAGAGAAGTAGAAAGTCGTATTTTAAATTTTTCAGTTGATGTTAATGTAAAATGTGCTATTGCTTCTTCCTAGAATGATTCATAAACACAAAATATTGCTATTTTATTTTCTTGTAGTCTTTCATTGAATTTCCTATGTTAAATATCTTTGCTGCAGTTATATAAAAGGGCTGTCTTAGAGGCGTGGTGGGACATGCCTGTAATTCCTAGCTTTCTGGGAGGCTGAAGTAGGAATATCTCATGTTCAAGTCTTAACAGGCAGTCTATCAGTGCCCTCTCTGAAAATAAAAAGAAGTATGCATGTAGCTCAGTATGGAGACTCCAGGTTCAATCCCCACTTCTGGAAAAAAAAGTTTTCTGATGATGAGTTTTTCTTACTATTGTGTTTAGTATAATATGGATTTAATTTTTCTTTTATCTTTTATGACTAAAATTGCCATTGTTCCTTTAGTTATTTTGTCACATCCCTTCTTCTCACACCTAGAACAGATTTGGAGACTTCCTTTTCTTCCCTAACCCATATGAAATCAAGGTCCACTAAAATTTAAGAATGAGAAGAATGTCTTCCTTTCTCTTTAACTAAGAATGAGGAAAGGCATTGTCTTTGACTTCTTTAATCACAGGGGAAGTTGTATGTACCTGTGTATCAATAATAGCTAGGTACTCTAAGGGGACAGTGTACTCTTTCTATGTGCCTTGGAGATTTCAGTAGGACCACTACCGATCAGAAAACAGGGTATATATGTATGTATGTATGTATGTATTTTTGAAGTTGGGATCAAACCCAGGGCCTTGCACATCCAAAGTACTCATTCTACCACTTCAGCTACATGCCTAGTCCTAAATAATTTTTGTTTCACTGTGGTTCATGGGCTGAATCTAGGGAACACTAAGCTATAGCCCCAGCCCTTTTTAAATTTTGTTTTTTTAATTTTGAGAAATGGTCTTGTTAAATTGCCCAGATTGGTCTGAAATTTGCAATCCTCTTCCTTCAGCCTTTTGAGTAACTAGGATTGTAAGTGTGTGCCATTACACCTGGCACAGACTTT